TCCTTCCTTCCTTCCTTCCTTCCCTCCCTCCCTCCCTCCCTCCCTCCTTCCTTCCTTCCTTCCTTCCTTCCTTCCTTCCTTCCTTCTTTCTCTTTCTCTTTCTCTTTTCTTTCTTCCTTTCTTCATTTCCTTCTCCTCTCTCCTTCCCTCTCCTCTCTTCTTTTCTTTTCTCATTTCCTTCTCCCTCCCCTCCCCTCCCCTCCCCTTCCTTTCCCTTTTTTTTTTTTCAGATGGGGTCATGCTTTGTTGTCCAGGCTGGTCTCGAACTCCTGGGCTCAAGTGATTCTCCCACCTTGGCCTCCCAAAGTGTTGGGATAACAGGCGCGAGCCACTGCACCCAGCCATAGTTTCTTTTTCAGACTGTGTTATTTTGAGCACTCCAGGTGAGGTCCATTTAACAGTAAAACATAAGGATAATTTTTAGCAGGTGAGTACAAATTCTCTTCCTCACTTATAGAAGAGAAAGAAAGGCATTAGTAACATGACCCGGGCCATGCCTTTGAAGCCAAGTTCACGTGTTCTGAAGCAGGAAAGGCAGGAGTAGCCATTGACATTTTTATTCTAGAGCAGAGCCTGCTCCAGGGTTGGGCAAGATTGAAATAAAATATTGTATTCATGAGATAAGCACTCCATGCTTTGGTCCCTTTTCACAGACATAGAAGTGCATGTTATTACTAAGTGTTTGAGGTGGAGAAAGAGCCCAACTACTTCTTGGGCATGACTAAAACTATCTTTTTCCAGAGGCAACAGATGGGACAGGGGCTTTGCAGTCTGACAGATCTGAGTTCGAGATCTACCCCTTTACTAACTGTGGCAACCTGAGGTGCTGCATCCTTCTGAGCTTTGGTTTCCTTGTCTATAAATGAGAAGAATGTTATGTGCCTCAACGTGTTGAGTAAAGACATAATGTGATTATATGTGTAGAGTGCCTGACATCTGGCAGATAGCCAATAACTATTAATTTCTTTCTTTTCCTCCTTCTGTGTGGCTCGTAATACTTTGCACATACTTCAGTGCTATTTCTCACTATTTTGATTAGTTGTGAATTTCCTTTTTTCTCCCTTGCTAGAGTCCTCAGAGGTCCTGTTTCATTCATCTTTGTATTCCCTGCACATGTTATAGTGCCTTCTCCTTGGACAGTGATCAGGAATGTTAAGTTTAATTAAATAGGTGAAGACATCTATTAGAGATAGGAAAAAGAACATCTTTTTCCAGCCCCAGACCTTGTTCTGGGCTTTGAAATTCTGATAATTTAATTTTCTTTGGGCGAAACAATAGAAACAGACTCTGGTTAACTGGTTAACTTAAGCTAAAAAGGACTTATAGGGAGAACTCTTCAACAGTCCTTAAAAAAAATTTTTTTTTTGAGGCTAGAGTGCAGTGTTATGATCTCAGCTCACTGCAACCTCTGCCTTCCAGGTTCAAGCGATTCTCCTGCCTCAGCCTCCCGAGTAGCAGGGACTACAGGCACACATCACCATACCCAGCTAATTGTTGTATTTTTAGTAGAGACAAGGTTTCACCAGGTTGGCCTGGCTGGTCTTGAACTCCTGGCCTTTCGTGATTCACCCACCTTGGCCTCCCAAAGTGCTGGGATTATAGGTGTGAGCCACCACGCCCGGCCTCAGCAGTCTTATAGGAGAGCTCAACAAGCAACCTGGGGAGATGGGAGCAGGGAAGCTCCCGCAACATTAGTGTGAGAGCCTTGCTCCAGGCGCCACCATCAGACCTTCAGCTCCAAATGTATCCATTAATGGGATCACCACCAAAAGTTCAAATTCCCAGAAGAAAGCCCAACTTGTATCAGGTGCCCTTATTATAACTAGAGCACCAAGATTGCAGAGGGAAGCCATAGTTGCTCCACATCGCATAACATGGGACCCTTCTAGGCATGCCTCCTTGCCAGCTTGAGAACTTTAAGCTGCCACCTATTTATACCATCTGTGTCAGATGTCATCTTACATCTAATTCCCTTCCACATACATGAAATGAAAGCGAGTCAAGGGAAGACTTAAGTAAAGAAAAACTGGCCAGATGTGATGGCTCATGCCTGTAATCCCAGCACTTTGGGAGGCCTAGGCAGTCAGATCTCCTGAGGTCAGAAGTTCGAGACCAGCCTGACCAGCATAGCGAAACCTGATCTCTATTAAAAATACAAAACTTAACTGGGTATGGGGGTACATGTCTGTAATCCTAACTACTTGGGAGGCTGAGGCAGGAGAATTGCTTGAACCCAGGAGGCAGAGATTACCGTGAGCTAAGATTGCACCACTGCACTCCAGCCTGGGTAACAGAGCAAGACTCTGTCTCAAAAAAAAAAAAGAAAAAAGAAAAA